CGTCCTCGTCCGGAAAACGTTGAACCGTCTTCCGGGTGCCGCGTCAGACCCTCCAGGATAATCCGGACCCGCTTGATCCGACGATCTAAGCCGGCAATTGTTTTCGCTTTATTCGAAGAGGGCGGAGAACACGCAAAAAAAAGAATCAAACACATATATACAAACACACAAACAAACGGCGTAATAGATCTTGGTTGGCAGATATTAATGAGTGCGCAATGAAAATAAAACGAGTGAATCGGACAGCTGACAGCGCGAGCGAAAATTTATTAGCAGCCTTATTAAAAGTCGCCTTTTTTTTGCTCCTCTAGGTCAATCGACCATTAACGATGAAGAAGGAAGGGATCCAGACTAGGAATCGGAAGTTGTCCAGCAAGAGTAAAAAGAAGAAATCCGGAGGGCCATGTCTGTCGCTAGGTGGCATGATGAGCGATATGATGAAACCTCTGGACAGCAAAGGAGCGTTCGGCGGTGGCAGCTTCGGCGGTGGTATGGGCGGCGGTCATCCGCACCTCAATCCCGCCATGCACCCCCATCACGCCATGAGCCACTGGTACCAGCACGGAGGCCATCCCCAGGGCTTCGTCTCGGCACCACCGCCACCTGCTCCACCACCCGCCGCCTCCTACCACCACCACATGAGCTCCCTCAGCGCCGCCGGCCTCGGACTCACCGCATCAAATGGAATGGTAAATATAAACGAAACTCAGCACAAAAGAAACGCATCTCTAACACAATTTTCTTCTCTCGAATTTACAGTCAGGCTGGCGATCGGAATACACGTGATAAGTTTCCACCCGGATTACAAATTAATAATTAAGTATGTATTTTTTAATAAATTAAATATAAAATAAACACAAAAAAATATAATGAAAGGAAAGACAGAAGACGCAGGCGCATTTTAACAGAGATGACTTGTACATATTTTCGATTTGCTTGAAACTGTTATTTGCGAATTGAATGAGATTGTAAATAATCGCAAATGAAAAAAAAAATAAAAGAAATCATAAATTTATATATACACAAATATATATAAATAAATATAATTAAATGAAAAAGTTCGTTTTGTAAATTTCAAGCATTAAATTTAAGTAATTATAATTATTATTATTATTGATAACATATATATATATATTGCAAGAAATGTATTATATAATAATTTAAGTACAAAATGATTTTCGCCCCGTTGTTTATTTACCTGCCCCTCACGAGTCTTGTATTAATTTCTTAATCTTAATCTTTGTAAAATGTACATAAACTGTTTTCTGGTTATAAAAAAAACATAAATTCCCCACTCGACAAAGTAAAATGATAAAAGTAAGTCGCCCTCCCTTGAAAGTAAAGAAATAAAATACATTTTATTTAACAGAAAACGTGTAAATATTAAATCGTAATTGTATTTATAATAATGTGCAATCTACAAGAATTTCAAAAAAAAGAAAGAAATAAAATAAAAAACGTAATATGAGTTGTTGTAATCTGATCCTGAGATCCTCTTGCTTGCGTACTAAACAAAAAATGTATATTAATTTTTAGAAAAAAAAAATTAATAAGATTTATATAAATGAACAAAATAAGAGATTTAAACCCCAAAAATTATGCGGATCTCAGGACCAGAACTATAATGTTATGTTAGACTGCGTTCTATTCTATTTTAATTTAAAAAATATGATTATTATTTTTTGTTGTACATATACAGCCACGGTTTTCCCTATTATTTAAAAAAAAATGATTCTTTTTATTATTATAAATAAATTTTTGTTTTTTTTTTATACTCTTATTTTCTGTGAGAAAATTTGATTATAAAAGAGAGGCTGCGTTCCCAAAACAAGCCACGATCCTGGATACTTCGAGCTCAATTGATTGATCGATTAATTAATTAATATCATTTTATTTTTTTTCGTTATCGATGATAATTATAGTACAAAGATATGATTAATTTATTTGTTTATTTGTTTATATTAAATTAATTTTAAAATACGCGTTTCTTTATTATTTTTGTTTTAATTTTATTTTTGTTTTTTGTCGCATCGAAGAATTCAGGATCGCGCGCGTAAATTTTATGTCTTTTTTTTTTCTTCTCTCTGTCTGTAACTCTATTTCTCTCTCTATATATAAATGTTTTATTTTTGTTCTGTTGTTCAGTTTGGAAATTGTTAATGGATTTATTAAATCGATTGTAAGTATTTTGAAAATATAGTGAGTAAAATGATGAGGCGAGGATGTGAGGAGAGAATTTCCAAATTCGAAAAAAACAAGACAAATTGATGATGATTGTAAATATGAAATGAAAAATTCACGAGGAAAAAGAAATTACAAAAAAAAATAAGATAAATACTTGATGTATGTATATGCTCTTTGTGTGATACATGAATAAAATTATTAAAATATGAAATAAAATACATTTGATTTATTTATTTCTATTATGTTCATACCATTTCTACAATTTTGTTCATTACAAGGTAAGTATTTCTCATATATAATTTTTTATATAATTAATTAAATTAGTTGTTTACATTAAATTACCGTGTTTTGACTTAATAAAATTGTATACAATGTTAATCAAATCCTAAAGAGAGATTAAATACTTATATTTTAAAAAAATTACATAATTTAAACGCTTAAAACTTTCAATTAAATTATCCAAAGATATTATTTTTATACAACAATACCTAGCATAGTTCGGGTAATAGGTTTTGCCAATAAACCGGAATGTTTGAAACCGGATTAATCGATGACATTCATGTACATTTTTTTAGATTTTATTTGTGTACTTAACGAAGGTTTAGTTTTTCTTTTAAAAATTTTAATCTGGTCTGATCGAATTTTCAGTTATGGTTTATTTCCTTTTGGTACTAGTAAGATTGTTAACTCCCATAAATATAAGTTTTTTTCCCTCTTCGCAAGAATCAGGTAAATTTCTTATCCAGGTGCATTTGAGATAATTGATTTTTGAGTGGTATTATTATGTGTATGCCAAGGACAACAATTTTTGTTTGGTGTCTTATGAAATAATTGTATAAACATTTATATCTTTTAAATAAAAGGATTTTTTTTTATTGAGGTAAAATTATAAATATGTAATATGAATACAAAATTATAATTTTGAAATTCGTTTTAATTAAAAAAAATACTACCAAATGCATAAATATTACGTAATAAATTATTTTCTGCGTTGAATTTGTATTGTTATAAGTAAAAAATACATAGGTAACATTTAGAAATAAAGCAATATATTATACTTTATACATTTAAAATGTAGTAGACGTCTTCACCTTAATTCGACATTAACTACCAGTATAAATAAATTTCAGTCTGTTAAGATTCAATTCGAGTTTTCAATTGTCTAAAGCGTTTTACATCGTGTTCAACTCGCATATAGAAAGAAGCCGGAGCAGTCCCGATTTGGTATTCCACGGAAGTTCCATTCAGAAAGCCGCATTTAAACTGTCTTTTCGTGTTATTTGTAATAAGCGTGTGGAAATTTAGTGGCGAGCGTTAATATATTACGTTTTAAATTAGTCCTGTCAAAAAATTTAAATAAAAAAAGTGTACATATACGCATAATGCTTTGTTCGGAACAAACCTTAATAAGATTTTACTCCTTGTCTTGTCTTTTTCCATGTAGACCTCGAGAACGTGTCTCGAAGAATTTATCGACGTTTAAATTTTGTAATTACAATGCTTTATGTAATTCAATACATTCACACTTCATAACTTTCAACGAGTATTATTTTTTTTAACAAATAACTATATTTAGTAATTTATTTCATTTTGATTAGTGCGGCTTCGATTAGTTCGGATTCACTATAGTAATAGAAAATTTCACATAATTTTACATAAATGATAGTTTTTTTCCTTTGTATAGTCTGATCTCTTGTTGTCTGGTATATGTATTTAGTTCGGTTTTAAATATTGACGAAAATTATTATCCACACTATGCGAGCTATTGAAGAAATTCTAATTTTAAATTAAATCTAACATGGATTTTTGAACCGATTTTTACATTTTTTTTTTAATTAAAAATTGGTTTTTGTAAATTAACAAAAACTAAAATAAATACATAATTTGTTTAACATTCATTATTTATGAAAATTTGAAAAAAATCCACTAAGGAGTTAATAGTAATTTATGTAATTATATAATTTAGTTTTAGAAAACAAAACATGCAAAAAATTATGAAAATTTCAAAATTTAATGTCAAATTGTATATTAATGTTTTAGTTCTGTATAAAATAATATGTAGGTTTATGGTAGTTTGCTTAGACATAAACCTTGGGTTCGTAGCATATTTCATGTTCTAGGCCAAAGCAACTCGAAGGTATGGTTTGAAAAAAAATTCTATCTCCAGATTTAGGTCCATTAACTAGAGCAAAAGAACGTTATATATTAAGCCATTAAATCGATACGATCGTAAACCAACTTTAGGCTGAGGCTTTCAAACGCTTGAAGCGAATCCACAGTAAGAAATTAAGTATAACCATAAGTTGCGTTCACTGCACTTATAATATACGTAACAAGATGAAGTTGCAAAAATAAGGTAAATGTTGGAATAAAAGTAATATTTATTAAGTTCTACTTGTAATTTTGAAATTGAAATTAATAAAAAAAATAAATAAGAAAAAGATTTTTTGTATATTACTGTTTGTTTAATTAATGAATAAATTTGATAAAATATGAATTTAGAATGATAATTTAAAAAGGAGGTACCACAATTTTCTATAAAAATGGTATTGATTTGTATATAAATCTATATATAGTTATTCTATTATAAAATAAGTTATTTCCCTTTGAATACAGTTCTTATACAATTAATTTTGTTTATTATTAAGTTCTTCTTAAATAATCTCATTTTTACATGATTTTTAAATAGTCATTCCTCTCTCAACGTTTGATCACGAAAAATCAATAGTTCTTGCAAATAAGTCACTAAAAAATGCTTATAAGAAGTTTGTCGTAAAATATAGTCAGAAAGTATACTGTATAAATAAAATATGGTCATTGTATTTAATAAGAGGAGTTATTAATATAATAATAATTAGAAATTTAAAATTATCAAACTTAATTTTTGAAAAACGTTTTGATTGTAAAAATGATTTATTATTCGAAATTATTATATTTAATATCAACATTATCTTTTCAAATATACAAATTTGCTTAACATTAAAAAAAAAGACAAATTAGTATTAATTTTCCAAAAAAAAAATTACAACTAGACTTATAATGTAATTAATTAAATTAAACAAGAAAAACTAATGTTTTAGATACATTATTTATTATGCATGGAAAATCTGTAATTTTATTTGATTAAAATTACACCAATTTGTACAATATTTTATAATATAAGCATCTTAGTAGTACGGAGAGGATGAATGGATTTACATATAATTAAATGTATGTTAACATATAAAAATTTTAATTTCATATTTATACTGTATATTTAGCCATGAGCTAAATCTGAATTAATCTGCTGCTATAACTAACTATATATATTTATATTTAAAATGATTTTACTTAAATAGAATAATAATATAATTACATAAATATTTCCAAAGGAAAAAATGTGAAATATTTTTTTATGAAATACTATATACAGGTATACCCCGACTTACGAACTCCCACATTTACGTTTTATTTTATTTTACTGTTTTATTGCATTTATTTTTTTGTCGTTTTTTTTTTTATTAAATAATTATAATGTCTACATTAAAAAGTATTTGTAAGTATTTTATTTATTTTAATCTATATTTTCAAATTTATGTAGTCAGTAATACGGAATTTAACATATATAAAAGTAAAAACCATGATAAAGTGTGGTAAGATAAATATATTTTTAAATTTTTAAAATTGCCCCCGACTTACGACGAACAATCATTTGGATCGGAACTAGTTCGTAATATATTTTTTATGCTTAATAAATAAATTAAGTAAAAA